AAAAAAAAAAAAAAAAAAAAAAAAGAGAAAAAAAAAGGCACATAAAGAAGCATAAGATCTATGATGGAAAATATAGCGGTAATTGCATTGAATAGTACATTTAACTTTCAATTAACTAAAACATGTGTATTTGGTCCTTTCATATATGAATAAGTGATATTAGACTATTTTTAGAACTATATTACCCTCGCATCAGTATTCAGATGGTTTAGCACTTAATAAAATTTGTTACATTTGTGAAGATTCACGTGCAGAGGGATCAAAGGTGCACGTATCCACTAAACAAAGACCAAAATTAGAAATTTGTCCATATTTGAGGACTACAAGCCAAATTTTCCAAAAAAAAAAAAAAGAAAAAGGAGATATACCGGCTGCAACAGGCGTTGGAAGAACAACAACGGCGAGTTCTTCGGCAATAGGTGCCTGGCCATTGGAGAGATAGCTTGAAGTAATTGAACTCTCGCTGATATCCTCCTCCTGCGCCACCGCCTCCTCTTCTCAGTAATCCTACTTCCTCATCCCATCCACCGTTGACTCCAACCAGAATACAACATGCTCCGATCAACAGAAATAGCATTCGTAGATTCACAATAGCGTGGACCGGAAGGAAAGTCATGGCTCTACCCCTACTGTTCTATTCCTAATAGTTTTTCAGTTTTCTTTTTCTTTTTTTTTGGTTTTCGTTCTTATGGATATGCCCATGAGTTGTGAAACAGTTTTATTATAAATAAGGGAGAAGGCTGGTGGCAGACGGCAGTTTTGGATTTATTATTGTGAACAAAAAGAAAAATGAAGAAGATAAATGGCGTGAGGGTTAGTTAACGGACAAAGTAGAATTTGGCACTTTTAATTTGCTGGCGGACTTGAAGAATCTTTGCGTTCATGTTTGATGAGCATTTAGTACTCTTTCGGTTTCATGATTTTAACTCAGAGGGGACCTACGTGATGGCTTGAGGGGTCACGTGACCCCCTTACCTCGTCATAAATTCTGTATATACATATTATATATATTTGTATATATATATGAGATCTTTTAAATATTTTAAGTATACCAAAGATGTGGACGGAAGAAGTGTTTGCTTTGGGCCCTTTAATTCCTAACTGTGTTGAGGATGTTGGTTCAAAACCCCCCTTTATCTTTTTTCTCCTCCTTTTATTTTTATTCTTTGACTACAATGTAATTTATATTTAATAGCAAATTGCTTTATCTTTTATTTGTATCTCTTTTTTTTTAAATTCAATTATAATTTAGTACTAATATATAATAGTCAACTTTATTAATATTTTAGTTCTTTGAATAAAATATAATTTATATTTAATAGCAAATTGCTTTATCTTTTATTTGTATCTCTTTTTTTTTAAATTCAATTATAATTTAGTACTAATATATAATAGTCAACTTTATTAATATTTTAGTTCTTTGAATAAAATATAATTTATATTTAATAACAAATTGCNATATATATATTTATTTTTATCGCTGGTGATTAGCATACAGTGGTGCCCCCATCTTGCTCAAATCCTGGGTCCGCCTCTGTTTTAACTTATGTATGACTTGGAACTTTTCATCATTAGTTTGCATTTTGAGGGGACGTTTAGTTGGAAAAAAGTTATCCCAATATTCATTATCTTGGGATTAGTTATCTCGGAATTAATTATTTCATCTCTCAATGGGGATAAAAAAAAAACACTATAATTCCGGGATAACTAATCTCGGGATTAATTATACCGCAATTTTCTACCAATAAAATATGGGATAAACTCTTATTAAATTTGGTCCCGGGATTAATTATTCCTTATCACTCATACCAAACGAGCCCTGGAGGTTTGGAAACTTACTAAGTTTGACTTAGAGTGGACTTTGATGCTATCGGACTTCGGGCGGTGTTATGGGACTTTGGATAGGTTCATTAGTTGGTTGGAACTTGTGTGTGAAGTTGGTCGTATTCCGAAATGTCTAAGTGTGATTCGAACGCATTCAACGAAGTTCGAAGGTTTGAAAGTTAAAATGGAGGGTTTTGATTGTCGATTTGTGATTTTGAGGTTATTCACGGCGTTTCGAGCCTTTGGATAAGTTTGGATAAGGTATTGCGACTGGTTGGTATGATTGGACGGGGTCCCGGGAGCCTCGGGTGTGTTTCGGTGTGGTTTCAGACCATTTGTCGTTGTTTTGCAACTGCTAGTTTCTGGTGTTCTTGGTGTGCATCGCGATCACGGAGGGTGAGTCGTGTTCGCGAAGAGTGACTGGAGCTGGGAAGGAATTGTTAATCGCGATCGCGGTGGGGAGTTTGCGATTGCATTACTGGAGCTGAAAGATTGGCCTTCGCGTTCACAGAGCTAGGCTCGCGTTCGTGAAAGCTTGGTAGGTTGTGGAACACCATCGCGAGAGGATCTCGCATTCGTGAAGAAGGAATCCTAGGCGAGGATAGTTTGGCCTTCGCGATCGCAAGGGTGCTTTCGCTATCGTGGAGAGGACTTTTTGGGCAGCTGCAATTTTGCCTTCGCGATCGCGAAGAGGAAAGGTCTGGGCAAAATGTATTTTATTTTGGGGGTTAGACCAACTTTCCTTACTTTTACCTGGGTAGGACGATTTTTCGAGCTCTTTGAGGGGAAATTTTCATAATCTATCATGAGGTATGTGATTCATACTCATTGTGAGTTAAATACATGGACTATATATAGATTTTAACATGAAAATTGGTAGAAATTGTAAAAGTTTGGAAGAAAACCTAAAAATTGTATTATTGGATTTTGACCACGAAATTGAATATGGAATTGGAAATAAATTATATATTTGAGTTTGTGGTGCTATGGGTAATGTTTATCTTCAAGAATTTTCGAAATTCGGGCGCGTAGGCCCGAGGGTTGATATTGTTGACTTTTCGTGTAGAATTGGAAATTGTTTCTAATTGTTAAATTACAAGTATTTGGGCATATTTTGATTGGTTTGCACGTTGTTTAACTAGTTTCGGATCGTTTGGCATTGGTTTGAGGTGCTAGAGAGGCGTTGGAGTCGATTATCGAGTTTCGGGGCGAGGTAAGACTCCTATCTAACCTTGTGAGAGGGAATTTACCTCGTGGGTGCTATATTTGTTATGTGCTACTTTTATGAGTGCTAAGCACGTATGAGGTGAGGAGTATCTGTGTGTATGCTAGAATTCCTGATTATGTCCGGGTAAACTTTGTCACGCCCCGAACCTGGACCTGGACGTAACACGGTACCCGGTGCCTGACTACATGTGGCCGAGCAAACCAACTGGCTGACTGAATCAACATGTGATATCATAATATACTGAATGCAGAAGATAAACTAACGCATGCTGATATACTGAAAGTCTGAATGATATAAATCAAAGCGTTTAAAAACTAATACAAGTCTGAAACGTATCTGTAGTCAATATTGCTTAACATGAAAAGCTTGTGACTCTTTCTAATTGTTACTCTAATCTATTAATCCTCTAATGAAGTACTGAAAACATGTCTGTAAATACTGAAAGATTGTAAAGTAATGATAATGCTCTTAAAGAACTAGGGCTCACCACTTAGCTGGTACGAGAATCCTAGCGCTCTGAATCGTCAACCTGAAAATCGTTACTTGCATCGTGAGATGCATACCTCAGGCGAAAGGGATGTCAGTACATTTGAATTGCACCGCTATATAAAACAACTAAAAGAAAGAACTGTAAATACTGAAACTAAAATTGAGCTAATAACTAAGAACTGATAACAAAAAATTGGAATCAATTGTCACGACCCAAACCGATGGGCCGCGACGGGCACCCGGTACCTTACTCAACCGAGTATCAACATAGCGTATCTTTTCATGTCATACTATCATAGATAACTGAGCCGGAAGGCTGCCGTGAGATAACTAGAATGCAACATGTGATACCAACTTATACATAAGATATATAGGCCTATAAGACCAAAATAACCACTTGTACACTGAACATAGGCTGACAAGGCCATACAATCTTTTATGTACATGACATCTGTCTACAAGCCTCTAAGAATACATAATTTTAATAAAGGTCGGGACAGAGTTCTGTCATATCAAACAATACACGTCTAAATAATACTAACCAAACAAGTAACTCCGAAGCAAATGAAGTGCACCAACATCTTCCGCCGAGCTGATAGCCTACTTGGAAGGCGCTCGACTTATCTATCGGGACCTGCGGGCATGAAACGCAGCGTCCCCAAGCAAAAGGGACGTCAGTACAAATAATGTACCGAGTATGTAAGGAATGAAAATAAGTAAATATGATGACCCAGAAATGAAATCTTTAATTTAAACATTAAAATTCTATATTTTATGAAAATGTTAAGAGCTTACCCGCTATGAGTTAAGTATCACCTGAATAATTGATGTGAATGGCGTTCCTTCTCTAGTAATATATTACTTATGAGGCCAATGTTGGTATTATTTTCATGTTGTGTTACGTTGATTGGATTATGTATATGTTGTTAGGATTGGTTTCTGGGATTCTCTGACAGGTGAATAGGCTCAGTTACAAAGGAAACTCTAGCGAAATTTTTGGAAATTTTGGGAGTTAGTAAAAATTCGGGACAATTGAAACATGCGAAAGAAGAGGTAAGTTATGTTATGCATTTGGGGGTGGACTCTACTTCTCATCTGACGACCTATTAACATGATGGATACCAATTGGATATGATAGCAAGTGTACGAAACATACTATAAGTGATATGAGGTCTAAGGAAGGTTCTAAGTCTAAGCCAAGTTGAAAAATCATAATAGACTAAAGTTGCAAATGAGTACGCGCAAGACCTCACTTTGTACGAGCATATCTACATGGATATAACGAGTTGTGTGATGCACAACCTATCAAATTAAATATCTTTGAGTCTAGTTTCTAGAGCATCTGTTCGTCATTTGAACACTCCTACAAGAAGTTATGATCAAATTACCAAAGGTTGGCAGAAACTTGCACTACCGCGATGCCCCATGCGGCGCCCCGTGCGGCGCGTCTGTGGGGGAATTCAGAGAGAATTAGAAAATATTTTCTGAGCACATTTTGCACAGCCGCCCCGTCCCCTGCGGCGCCCCATGTGCCGCGGCAGTACAAAAACGGATTTTTAAGACCCGAACCCCATTTCATTTAACTCGTTTGGGATTTGTTATTTTGGGATTTTTGTGGTGCTTTTAGAGAGAGGGAAGAGAAATTCTAGAGAGAGGAAGAAGCTCAAGTTCCTTGTTCATCAAAAATCTTGTCCAAGCCTTGAAATCGCATCAAAGGGTTGCTAAGGCTTCAAAGAGGTAAGAATTTCTTTTCCCCAATTAATCAATTTCGAAATCTAACTAGAAATGGGTAATTAGTAAGATGATTCATGGATGTTTGAGTATTAGTTATACATGCTTGTAACAAAAAGGTTATGGGAAGATTGTTGTGTTCAAATAGGTAAAGATTGGGTTAAAAATGGTAGAAATCTTCAAAACTTTAATTGAGCATTTGAAAGGCAATCCGATGTTGGAATTCAATAATTTTTATATGGTTGAACTCGTATCAGAACGAGTATTCGGATTTCGTAAGTTTTTCCGGGATTCATGACATGGGTCCCACTGTTGAATTTTAAAATATATTTCAGATTTTATCCGAAAAAAATAGTAAATTCATATGGAATTAATCCCTACGATTTGTATTGAGTATACTGAATTATTATGACTAGATTTGAAGCTTTCGGACACGAATTTGCAAGGCAAAGGTTTATTGGAATCTTGAATTGGTTGCAAAGCGAGGTAAGTGTTTGGTCTAACCTTAACTTGAGGGATTAGGAGTTGTGGCCTATTTGCTATGTGTTATTTGTTGAGTACGACGTATAGGCATGGTGAC